CTATTTAATTGATAAACTAAATTATATATTACAATATAGATATTAAAGGAAGGAAGTCATTGTGAAGTTCGGACGCGTTTTTTACAGCTCTGCTATTTTTGGCTTTTTTTCTTCGTTTAAAGTGAATTTTATATCTATTTTTATGGTTAAAAATCATATAATGAGACAGTGACTCATTTGGGCAATTCACAAGGTGTCGTATTTGTCGTGTTTGTCGTGAAGTCATGATATTTCATGACAGTTGTAAAAATGTTGTTATTGTTTTGTGAAGAAAAATAACACATGACGATACAACTCTGCAACCTATGTTTATTCGGTGTTATGTGAGGTTAAGTGCTGAGATATAATAAATAATCGTAACAGGTGTTCACAACCGTCGTGTTTTAACACAACTTTTGTTAGGAAAATATAACTTCACAACACCTTGTGAATTGCCCATTTATAACATTAATTGGATTGAGTTGTGTTCAGCATTGAATAATAATAATAATATTAGCAATGCCTTGCTTTTGCAAACAAAAGGTTGATCGCGCTAAACCAAAAGTGCAATGCTCAAAATGCAACGAGTTTTTTCATTTGCTTTGTGTTGGCTTGAAACCAGCCGATGTTGATTATTTGAACTCGTCAAATAGACCATTCTATTGTAAAGTGTGTATGGATGTGCGTCGTGAATCTCTTCGCTCGCTTCCGTCTTCCGTTGCTTTGGATGAAGGTGTTGTTGCTGAACCTGCGGCTAATTCGAACTCTGTGATTATAAACAATGACAGTGTCGTCGGTTCTTGCACTAGCGAATCGTTTACTTCTCCCAACAATGTTGTCTCTCAGCACAACAAAAATGCAAATGCTAGCCGAATACAAAAATCGACTGATAAAACTGCTCCGTCTCTTCAAATTGTGAAAGATTCCGGTAAAATAGTTCATTTAAATGATGCTAAACAACAATTAACTCTACAGCAACTTTTTGCTGAGATTGTCGCTCTTAGAGAAGGAAATGCGCGTGTTATTGCTATGGTGAACGAATTGCTTGATGATAAGCAGCGTCTTATAAAAAAAAACTGAATCGCTTCAAGCTGAGCTTCACTCACTGCAGAGTAATCTTTGTATTGGTGAGCTAGTGTCGTCGATAAATGTGCTCACTGCTGAAATTAAAACTCTTCGCTCCGATGCTTTCGCCAATAGCAACACGACTTCATCTAATTCTTCAGCTTCAAACTCTACAACTGAGACTAGTCTCTCTTACTCACGCTGCTGCTTCTGCGGTTACAAATGCATATGCTGCTTCTGATAGCGCTGCCGCTGCCGTAAACACCAGCTTGGTTAATAGTCATCGTATCGATGTTTGTGCCGACAAAAAAAATTCTTCTTTTGTTTATCCAGATCCAACTGCCGACTTCCAACTGTACGTCCGTAGCTACCACTCAGACCAGTGGCTTGCTTACTTACGCCGCTGCTGCCTCAGCTAATACATATTCACAGGCGGCTGCCGCTGCCACTGGCATATACGGCAGTTTGACTGCTGCGACTGATATGCCATTTATGAGTGATAATCACAAACATATGCCTAATGCTTCTTCTTCTTCGTCGAAACCTATGTCTTCTGCTACAGTTTCTGCTGGTTCTCTCCCTGAAGCACAGTGGGAATCAGTACAAAATAAGAATCGCAAAAAGAAAAAGGCTGAGCGGAACGTTGTATTCGGCCGGAATAGTAGCAAAGATCTGGATGTATTTGCTTCAAGAAGATGGTTACATTTGTCTTCATTTAAGCCCAGTGTTACTGAGGAAAATATACTGTCTTTCGTTGCAAGAAATACCGGCATTGATAAAGATAATCTTTCCTGCTTCAAGCTCATCAAAAGGGGTGCAGATATTTCTTCCTTTAGGAAGGTGAATTTCAAATTGGGTGTTAACGCTTCGCTATATGATAAAGTCATAGATCCTGCGCTTTGGCCAGCAAATGTCGAAGTACGTCCCTTTAAATTTTTTCAACGGGAAGAACAACCAAAAAATCCAACCTAGCCAACTCTAGTAAATTTGAGCCATCACCCAAGAGTCTCTTGATTTACTTCCAAAATATGGGAGGTGTACGTACCAAGTCGGATGTCATATGTTCCCGTAGTGCAGTCTCGGAATTCGACATAATAATCTTTGTTGAGACCTGGCTGAATTAAAATTTCTTTGATTGTGAATATTTCGATCCGAACTTATTTACCGTTTTTCGCAAAGATCGTGATGTCATCAGAACGGGTTTGAATCGTGGTGGAGGAGTCCTCATTGCAGTACGTCGGTATCTTAATGTTTTCCAGGTTTCGCTAAGTAATGATGATTCAATTTTAGATAAAATATGTGTTTGTATTAATGGTTACTCAGGTTCGGACTCTTTATATTTACTCGCGTCATACATCCCTCCTGGGAGTAATTACGATATTTATAAGGCTTATACGGACAATATTACATATTTAGTTCATAGTCATTTAGAACGAGACCACTTATGTGTTTTTGGCGATTTTAATCTTTCAAATATTACCTGGTCTGATAAGCTATCTAAATCTGGTCTTATACCTATGAATGCCAATTCAGTGATCGATTCCTATGCTGTAGATAACTTGTTAAGTCTTAACTTACTGCAGGTTAATTGCTTTTTAAACAAACTCAATAGAATTCTAGATCTCATTTTTATCAGTGACAATATTGATTTCGATCTTTCTGAATGTCTCTATTCGTTATCACCTACGGATAAGCATCATATTTCCTTGGTACTTAAATTAAATGCTTATGAATTCAATACAAGCGTTCAAGAGGAAAAACTAGCATTTAACTATAATAAATGTGATTTTTCTCGAGTTGATAACTGTTTAATTGAAGTTGACTGGGAAAAATTGTTCATAAGTTCGGATGTTGCCCAATGTTTTTCTATTCTTAAATCGCAAGTGGTTGAGATCTGTCGCCTAAATATCCCTTAAATTAAAAAAAGGCGGTACAAGCTTCCGTGGTACACACGTGAGCTAAAAAGTCTTAAAAATAAGCGTAATAAATTCTTTAAGAAGCTTAAAAAACACAACAAAGAGGATGCTTATGCAATGTATCAACATTACTCAAAAAAGTTCAATTGTTTGAACAAATTTCTATATAAGAATTATATTTTAAGTGTAGAATGCAGTATTAAATCTAGCCTCAAGTTTTTTGGCAATACATTAAAACCAGGACGTCTAGTTCTGGGGTTCCATCTGCTGTCTTTCTGGACGATAAACTAGCTACCAGTGCCTCGGAAGTAGTGAACCTGTTTGCGGATTTCTTTAAATCAAACTTTGTTAGTGATGAATCTGACTCCAACTGCTCTCGCTCTTTTAAAGATATCTCGTCCCTGATTTTGGCTGTTTAAGATATTGAGAAGGGTATTTTAGCCCTTAAACCCTCCACAAAAACGGATGATGATGGACTGTCAGTTGTGCTTCTCAAACGTTGTTCTGCTCTCACTCTGCCTCTCAAGTTAATTTTTAACATATCGTTAGCCTCCGGCATTTTTATCGATGATTGGAAAAGGACAGTTGTTACTCCATTTTTCAAAAGTGGTAAAAAAAATGATGTCCGTAATTACAGACCAATTTCGAAGCTCTCGACAGTTTCCAAACTGTTTGAAAGTATTGTCAAAGAAAAGATATATTTTGCTACTAGAAGTATAATTTCACCCTACCAGCATGGTTTTGTTACAGGCAGGTCAACAGTTTCCAATTTAGCTGTTTTTGCTGAATACTGTATTGCAGCGTTCTCAGCAGGGTATCAAGTCGATTGCATCTATACAGATTTTTCGAAAGCGTTCGATAAAGTATCGCATACATTTTTATTAAATAAGCTGGAATATCTAGGCTTCCATTCAGTTTTTTTAAGCTGGCTGCGTTCTTACTTAAGTAATAGACATTGTGTAGTTTCTGTTAATGGTGTCACCTCTGCACCTTTTATTGCGTCCTCTGGGGTACCGCAAGGGAGTATACTAGGTCCCTTGCTTTTCGTTTTATTTATTAACGATATTAGTAGCTGTTTTTCTTTTGCTAACTTCCTTCTATACGCTGATGATTTAAAAATATATTCTGTTATTTCTAACTCCGAAGATTTACACAAACTTCAGGCCGATGTTGATAAATTAGTTAGTTGGTGCAGTGTCTCTAGTCTATCGCTTAACATTAACAAATGCTTCAAGCTCACCTATTCGAAAACACATAACATTTTTCCTACATGTTATAGAATTGCGGATAACATACTTCAACCAGTTGAAGAAATCAAGGATCTAGGTGTTGTTTTTGATGCGCGTTTTACATTTTTGAGTCATATAGACTTTATACTATCTAAAGCATACTCCGTTCTTGGCTTCATAAGAAGAAGTAGCTCAAACTTTACGGACCCGTATACCCGTAAGTTGCTATTTACTGCCTTTGTCCGTTCTATTTTGGAATACGCTGCGTTTATTTGGATTATAATATTTTCGCATTTAGCAAAATTAAAGCACGTTTTTCACTGTAAATTGAACTGTTTTGGCAGTTTCTACTCGTTCTTCTTTTCGCTTATTCTTTGTTTACTTGTGGTACACAAATGTCAAC